GGACGGGGGGGGGACAGGACTGGCACGGTGAGATGTACCCAAGGATGGGGGTGTTTCCCTACCAAGCAGCTCCAGTGACACTCGAAGAGTGGACACCTGGTTGAGCTCCTCCAGGTCTTCACCTAGGAAACTGGATGCATCAGTGAAGGTGGCCCAGGGCTAGCTGAACCGAAATTTGGAGACAAAATGGAGGGAAGTAGTGCCTATCACACTGTAAGGCCTCCAGCTACAACAGTTCATGCAACTGAGACTAGCCAGAAAGGTTGACCTACTTGCACAAATTCATTCATAGCAAAGGGGATGAAGCTTTGGTCACATCTGCTACAGAGCTCTGCTGGAGGAGAAGAATCTGATGTGTTGCTGGTGCTGGTAGGGGACAGGGAGGGAATCCTGGGCTCTAAAATACACCCAGTATCCCTGGCATTGTGGGCAAGTCTCTGTCACTCAGTCCTTTCACAGTAGACACAACTTGAAACCAGGGGCTGGAGCTATTACCCATCACCAAAGCCTTCCCATGGGATAACAAAAGCATTTCCTTGAAATTTAAATTCACACACAAGAGCCAAATCTCTACAGAGATTTCAGTCTTGAGAGATGCAAGTGCAGGCTCTGTAAGCTTTTTAAGCCCATCTATTCCATTAAGCACCTCTAAAGACTCTGAGGGCAGTGACTATTTTACAAACATTGTTTGCAAATCTATTGGTTTCTACTCAGAAGATAGCAGAAATGGAGAAACATTCACAGTACAAGCTCTGCAGTGTCATATGGCATTTTTTTGCTGAGTCAAGAGTCATTTATCAGACCTTACCAGGCTTTGGAGTGACTGAGTGGATGGAAGGTGTGAGAAGCTGAGTTAGCCACAGACTGAGTGTGCACCCATTTCCCATGGAGCACTGAAACACCCAAGGATTTCCACCTGTTCTTCCATGTTTCATAGGACCTGCAAGCAACCCAGAATATGTTAAGCTCTTTGTGAGAGTTCTTCCAGCTGCGATGTCCCCCTATGGCATACAGAACCATAGAATAGATTCATTTATGTTGGAAAAGACCCTTAAGACCATCAAGTCCATCTATTAACCTAACAGTACCAAGTCCACCACTAAACCATGTCCCTAAGCACTACATCTACATGTCTTTTAAATACCTCCAGGGATGGTGACTCAAGCACTTCCCTGGGCAGCCTCTTCCAGTGCTTGAGAACCCTTCCAGTGAAGACATTTTTCCCAAAATGCCATCTAACTGCTGCAACTGCAACTTGAAGTGGTTTCCTCCTGTGCTATCCCTTGTTACTTGGGAAATGACACCAACCCTCACTTCCCTACAACCTCATTTCAAATAGTTGTAGGGAGTGATAGGGTCTCCTTTGAGCATCCTTTTCTCCAGACTAAACAACCCCAGTTCCCTCAGCCAGTCCTCAGAGGACTTGTGCTCTAAATCCTTCACCAGCTTCATTGCTCATATTTGGACACGCTCCAGCACCTCCATGTCTTTCTCGTAGTGGAGGGCACAAAACTCAACACAGTATTAAGGTGTGATATGTTTTCTTTCTTCCCCAACACTGTCTTTGCATGGTAGAGCATCCTGCAAGATACAGTTTTCAGGATGTCTGCATCCCATGGCCATGCAGCATCACACAGTGTTGGAACACTGACACCCCCACCAGCGTGGGACATCTTGCCTTCACTTGTGAGCTACAAGAAACTCCCCTGTGAATGACTTAGAAGCCTCACATCTCTTTATGCCATCCATGCTTCTGGCCCACCCTTCTGTATCAGAGCCTTCCCATATCTGCTCTCCTGCCACCACCCTGTTGCTTCTTTTGGGGCTGTTAAACCTGCCCCACCTCTCTGGAGGTACCATGTAATCTGCTGTGGACACAGGGGAGGAGCCCTAGAGTGAAGTGGTAACTCAAGGGATAAGCACAAAGGCAGCAAAGATGACCGCAGACCCCCAGGTTACATGTTAAGAAACCCACATGCACAAAATTTCAAACCCTGGAGCTTACAGGGACCTAGAGAGAGAACATGCAGAAAGCAAAGCCTGTACATTAAAAAAAAAAAAAAAAAAAGCCTGGAAAAGACTGGTGGCAGGCCAGATCTGCTCACCCCTGAGGACCTGCTCTGCTCCAGGGCAAGTCTTAGAACTGCCCAAGGTGGTGGGATCGTCCCTGCCATGAAAGGCAAGCAATTTGCAGAGGACCTGGGGGTAGTCACATTGTTGGGTTCTTCTACCACCCTTGGAGTCACTTTGAAATCACCAGGGAGTGGGATGGGGATGTTAAGGCACTAGCTCCTCACCAGAGCATAAGCAGTTGCGTATTTCACAGAGAAAAGTGCTGGTAGAAGCTGAATCCCAAATACTCTGGCACTGAGTGTGTTAGAAACTGGCTGAAGCAATGACGTGTCCCTGGTCCAGCAGAGTTGTTACACACAGGTATAATAAGCTTTTCTGCACTATTGTGTCATGAGAAACTTTGAATGCAGTTTGCAGAGGAGACCAGGATTGCCAACTCATCTCCCATGCAGGAAACTGAGGCAGACTGACATGGGGGCCCAGCCATGCAGACCACAGAGCATGGAGCAGGATCTCAGGATTGAAGTCATTGTACCAAGCAGAGTTTCGCCTGTGCAGCTATACTGGTCCCTAAGATGGTCCTACAGAGGCTGCATGAGCCTACATTCTGTGCAGGTCTGGTGCTGGAATGGGCAACAAGGAGCTAGGAGCAATGACTAAAGGATACCTTTCTGTGGGAGTAAGGGACCAGGTGGGTCTTCCCAGTGGTTTTGCTAGGCCTGCACTTTGACATCCTGCTTCATGAGGGA